AAAAAAAATATTGATTAGAACAAAAGTTATTTCATTTGTCAGAATGTCAGATCTCTTTGGGACACCCTGTATTGGGGGTCAAAACCGCCACTGTCTTAAACCATGAACCACAGACACAATGTGGATAACAGGGTGCCTTTGCATATTATAYATAAGGTAGTAGGTACCATAATTCATAGGCGTACAAATACCTTAATGATATTAGGTTAGGTTTTTAAAGTCACAATTGAGGGAAAGTGGCCCATTTTCTTCATGGCACACCCCATACAAAATCCCTGTGCATGCCTGTATACCATATTTGTTTAGTGTAGTTAGGATTTGTTTCGTAGTTTTAGGATGAGATATACTTTTTTACATTCATAATAGTGAAAGACTATCCCCCACATCCCCTCTGTTGATTAAATTTTATAGATCAAAAAATTTAATTGATTTATTAATTATTATTAATTAAATAAAGTACCTAGGTAGGTAAATTAATTAAAAATTATTTTCATCCATTGTCTTACTTTTCCTCGTCATATCAACCCTATATCGATGAAAGAATGTTGAAAGTACTTGGATTCATTAAATGTACCTAACACCAAAGGCTTGAAAGGAAAATCTGCTCTTTACCTCCATTTTTTATTGATTGCCACATTTTCCTCRCGATAGGCCAACTACCTTGAACGAATACAGAATAAATATAAGTAGTACTTAGCATGTAGGTACTTATTAAGTACCTATACATGCTGCTTCCATACTCAACATTTCTATCATACCACACGACCACTCCTACATACCTACATGAAGTTCTCCACGTCCAAACTACTTAACTTAAATAGATCTTTTTACCATCAAATTGTTCTTATAATCGGATTCACAAATAGGCTATTTTAAATTTATCCATATACATGTAGCACTAGGGTCAATTAACTAACAAAAAAAAAAAATAAAAAATATTAATTTGAACAAGTTATTCCAAAAGTCAGTTCTATCTGTTACCTACAGCTTATACCCACATATAATGGTAATAATTATTTTTCCAGATTAAAAAAATCCAAAGCAGTTATACCCATTAAATTTTACATTTATTACCGTTAAGGTACCTATACTAAGCATATACAAGAATCTATCAACACCTTTTAGAGCATTAAAACATTTTTTGCGTTTCTATAGCATTAAAATCGCAGGCCGTAATTTGCAAAAATAACAGTTTTTAACAATGTTAATAGTAAAATTATTCAGTGCTCATACTAAGAAGATATAAGATGTAGACGGTTAAAAATTATATCAGAAAGTTGTAAATTTCTATCAGTTTTATCTTTAAACTGTGATAA